AAAGATGAAATCATGAAATTTGCAGGTAAATGGATGGAACTAGAAACTGTTATACTAAGTGAAGTAACACAGACTCAGAAAAAAAATTGACATATATTCTCCCTCATATGTGGATCCCAGAACCAAACCCTGATAAGTGAGTATGTATCCAGACATAACTACAGGAACCAGGATAATGGAAACGAAAACAGGGAGGTAAAGGAAAAGAAATAACCTGAAAGAGAAGAACAGTAGGAAACAGGCCTTAATAAGGGAGATATGGATAAAAACTGGGTTAGTTTAAGGGAGGGGGGAGGGAAGGATATACAAGGAACCTAAGGGATAAAGGGAAAGAAGGAGCTCAAGAGAGGTAGGACTGTAGGAAAAGGGTATTAGTAAGGGAGAAAGGGGGGAAATGACGGCACCCTAAGTGGGAAAACCATGATGGAGGGGTGAGACAATGCGAGAGAAAAACAATGCCTAGGTAGTTTTGAAAACTAGAGGGAACCATAGTACTCCTACACCCTACTGACAAATTATACATAACAGATCAAGAAATACATGTCTAGGTGAGGTTTATCTGAGAACTGGTCTTTGCCCAAGATTTATCTACATGACACACAGTAATTAAAAACACCAGACTGGTGGAACTAACCTTCTTTGGTGTTTAACAAACATACTGTGAGGCCTATAATAATTTGGTCAGAGGGACACAAAGGACACATTTTGCTCATAGCCCTCCTAGGTCAACTAGTTCCAGGAGACTATGAGCATCTCTCAAAATGTCCTATAATGGTGGTGGGTCACCTGTCCTCTTGATCAAGGAGGCCAAGAAGACCCCACAAGATGGACTTAAACCAGTGTCCAGTCTACAAAGAGGAGGGTCAACAGAGAGGAATCATTTCCTCCATGCTTCCAAGCAAAGCCAACCATGGTCGAGCAGGACCTTTGACATCTTCACATAGGTGGAACTGGTAAAAGAAAGGAGCCAGGGGCTCCTCCCGAGCACATGTGACCCCCGAGGAACAGGTCCTCAAACGACCTTAAAAGTAAAAATAAATCAGTTTATCTGGGCCAACTGTATGGACTTAAACACCCAAAAGGAAAGTATAACCAAAGATTAAAGGGGCCAATATAATTTCATAAGAGTCCATATGC